AATGAGAGACAGTCAGGCTTCTTCCCTTATAATGGAGGACCTCAAGGGTAACCCTTCCCAGACAACATGCAAGTATTCATTTGAAAACTGCTTGATCAGTTAATTAATTAAACAAGCACATACTGAGCACTAAGTGTCTCAGGAATTATGCTAAGCACTGGAACTCTAAAGAGAAATAAAAATTCTTCCTCAGAGAGCTCACAGTGTATTGAGGGTGGAGACACAGAAACTAGGGACCATACTTTACTGGGACAACTTCTCCAGTCAAGGCAATTATAAATCAACATATTTAGCAAGAAATAAGATTGTTATTAACTTTTGCTTGTGAAATTCATGGAATGTTTCTCCTACGATCAGACATTTGAATTGGCTCTTGAAAGTGTAAATGGATGCATTAGGGGAGTGAAGCAGTGAGAAGGACATCCAGAGCAATGAAGCTTGTGAAAGACTGCAGAGGCAAAGACTCACACTCTGGGTCATCCCATAGCAATATCTTAACCTAGACTTCCCAGAATGAGATTCATAATCATTGTACCCTAAGGAATATAAGTATAAACACTGAACACGAGCTTTTTTTTGTGGGAGAAGGATGGGTAATCTTCTCCCATGCAATTTACTGCCTCTGAAAACCCACTGGAGGGTCAGCTATGGGTTGGTTCCAACTCAATGGTGCACAACAAAATAACATTGTAAATAAATAAGTAATAAATAAACAAACAAACAAACAAATAAATAACCAACCTCCACATAACATTAGCTCTATCTCACAGATGAGGAAACAGCAGCAGAGAGAGACTGAGGAACTCCTCAAGGTAGCACAACTAGCAAAGACAGCGAAGCCATGGTTTGTATCTGAATGGTCTAAAGTCCAGGCTTTAACTAGTACATAAGATCTGACCAAATGTCATTCTAATGGTTCTGAAAAGGGCATCAGTAAAACAAATAAGCAAACAAAATGTCACTTAATTCAGGGTTTTTTTAACCATTACTTTTTCTTTTTCTTTCAAGGATAAGGTTTACAGAAAACCCTTGAGAAGTGATTCTGACAGGGCTCAGTCTCTTTGGCTGAGGAACTTTTCTCACTCAGTGTCTGCAGGGTCCACGGCTAACACAAAAGCTGCTTCTCTAATGGTCCTAATCCACCAGTGACTCTGCCAGAGAAAGATGGGAAATCTCTTCCCATGCCTTCTTGTCCTCTGTGTGGGAGAACACAGGGGATCTCATGCACAGCCACATCTGTTTGCCAGTAGAGGGCTGATATGATGGTGACCTAGCATATTAGATGGACTAGGAAGAAAGGCTTCTAATCTACTTTTGAATATCAAACAAGGGAAACCCTATGCAGCAATGATCCAATCTGGAGCCAATTATGAGCATTTGGAGTGTGCTATCAGGAGGGACTTCTCCTGGAGGAAGACATATGGCAGAGTATAGGACTGAGTAGGGAGCTCTGATGATCTAACGGTAAGAGGTTGTGCTACAAATCCAAAGGCACATGGTTTGAATCACCAGCTGCTCCATGGAAGAAAGATGGGAAATATCCTGTGTTATTTACCTCTGAAAATCTGTTGGAGGTCAGTTCTGACTCAATGGCACATGAAAACAGGACTGAGTAATGTTTTGTTCCATGGTTCAGGAGTCAACATGAGTTGGGGCCAATTCACAACAAGGATACACATCCAAGAATTGCCAGTGCTGCTTGGGGAAGGGTTGGGAAGACTTCTAGCAAGGATCTGGTACTTCATGGGTGGCCCTAGAAGGATCGTTAGTAATGAAACCGGAGAGATGAGCAGAAGATTGAAGGAACCAGAATGAACGAAGAGTGGGTCCATGACTGATGGAGATGGATGCTGGTAAACCAGATAAGACTACACATATCAGTATTACAAAGGCTTTGGGACTTGAAAATGAGGAGCCATTGTCACATTAGTAGGTAGTCAATGGACATTGGGAATTCAAGGCTGATATGAAACTGGACAGCCTTGATATAGAAAAGCATGCTCTTACTGGGAGACAGTATGCTAATAATAATCAAAATTAATATTGATGAGAAGATAGCCAGTCACTGATGACAATCAGGAAGTGTAAGAGCCAGGTGACAGGTGGTGTGTCAAGCACCCAGCATGTCAGGCTTTCCAGCCCTGCCATGTGGGAAAGAGGGAAGGAGAAGGACCACAAGACTCATGCAATTACTGGTGAATGGCTTCCTCTGCCTGCCCTGCCTTCTGGTGGAGGACTGGCCCAGGAGGGAGCTCTCCCTTCCTGGAAGACCATACTTGGTGATCCCTGCAAAAGGTTCATTCAGACTTAGGGAAGTCTGGATCCTAAATATTTGTCCCTACTTGCTTTTATCCTGCCTGGATCCTGCAAGGTAAAACTACAGGAACTTTAGGGTGTCAAGCAATGCAGGCTACCTTCTTGAGTGAGGTTCTTCCTGAACATGTGCATGCATCCAAGTGGAGCTGGTAACCACTCACCTATAGCAGAGCAAAGGGAACCTCTGTGGGGAGCCTGGTAGACATGTGATTCAGAGAAGGACAGAATGCTGGGCAATCTTTTCTCTTGTTAATCACAATTCTTCCTTTACGTCTGGTCTTTTATCCCTCAGGTATGTCATAAGAATCATACAGAAGCAGTGTTGCTAATGCTGTGGAGTTGGCACTGACTCACAGTGACCCCAAGTACAACAGTAAAAAACACTACCCACATCTGTGGCATCACACAATCTCTGCCACATCTGAACCCATTTTCACAGCCACTGTGTCAATCCATCTTGCTGAGTGATCTTTCTTACTGACCCTCTACTTAATCAAGCATGATGTCTTTCTCCAGGGTAACATGCCTAAAGTGCATGGTTGCATTTCTCACAAGACAGATTTGTTTGTTCTTTTGTCAGGCCATGGGATATCCAATACTCGTCACTGACACCACTATGCAAAGCTTCGGTTCTTCCCATTGTTGCAAGGCACTGTTGAGTATGACTCGTTGTTTTTGTTATGTGCCATTGAGTCACCTACTACTCACAGCAACCTTATATACAATAGCTCTGAACTCTGCCCTATCCTGAGACAGTCTCACTGACTCTGACACACCTACCCCCTTTACCCCAATCACTGTGTCAATCAATCTCATAACAACCCTATAAACCCTGAAATCTGTTCCATCCTGTGCCATCCTCATCAACTGACATGCTTTAGCCCATTACTTAAGTCACTGCGTCAATCCATCCCATAAAGGTCTTCCTCTTCTTTACTCATCCTCCTCCTTTCCAAGCATCACTCCCCATTCCTTTCCAAGGAATAGGCCCTCCTAACAACATGCTCAAAGTATGTGAGATGAAGCTTGATCATCCTTACCTCCAAGGAGTACTCAGATTGTGCTTTCTCCAAGACCTAATGTCCATTCTTTTGCATGCTTTAGGATATTCAGTACTTCTCAGGTCTTCCTTATTCATCCACTGCAGACATCTGAGATGACTGAAATGTCATGCTTTGCTTTAGACACACTTTAGTCCTCAAAATGAAATTTTTGCTCCTTAACTGTTTTAGGAGGTCTTTTGCAATAGATTTTCCTAGTGCAAATCTGTTTTTTATTGTTAATTCCTTGATTATTGTTTCTATGCACGTTAATTATATGGACAGAAGATACTGGAAAAGCACCTCACACCTTCAAAGACTTTGTTTCCTCATCTGTGTAGTAGGTTGTACTGAGGAGCTAATAAAGGAATACATGCAAATTTGTACTAAGACTCATCAAGATGGCAACCCAGGCACATTATCAGAGAAGTGGTGGCTATGGATGAGATTCAGTCAGAAATCCAACCTAGGGCTACCAAATGGAAGGAAACTGGTAACTAGGGCAATGGGGGTGGGTGTGTCAGCATCAGTGAGACTGGCTCAGGACAGCGCAGGGTTCAGAGCTGTAGTACATAGGGTTGCTATGAGCTGCAGACAACTCCAGGACACACAACAACAACAATAGCAGCTGAGTACAGTAATGTTGGTGGAAGGAAGAGCAAAGCCTTCTAAATTTTTGGTTTGGGCCTTTGCACTTGTCAGAGAGTTGCTGATAGTCTGTAGACGTGAGTTTAACAGTTTGGAGTCTTTGAGCTCTCTATTTGGAAGACCTTTCAAAAGTGAGATCTGTTCACTTCTGAACAAAGAATCTCAAAGAGGTTCAGAAAGTCCTTTGCAGGAGAGCTTCCAAGAGATCCTGCAGTTTCCTGGACCTGGCTAACATGTGTTGCAAGCGAGGGACTAGTGCTTTCAGGCCATGTGCGCCCCTTGAGAGCGCTTGGACTGGAGTGCCTGTGTCCCTGGCACCGCAAACGGAGGGTGGCCTCAGTAGTGGACAGTGCTTATGGCGCCCATTTGTGGCTCCGTGGCGCCGCCCGGTGGAAATTCGCCTTTGCCGTCTCTGCTGAGGACGCCGCGGACCAGAGGACGACAGAAAGCTGATGACATGAGGGCGCTGTCTCCCGAGTGATGGCAGCGCACGCTGCCTCGCCGCCTCCACCGCCTAGCCCCAGACTCCTTACGTCAGGGTAGCTGGGTCCCCCCTCCGCACGGGAGCAGAGAGCAGAGAGCAGCCCCGGAGAGCACAGCAGAGCGCGCCTGGGATCCAGGCGTCCTTACAGCGCGCCAAGCCCGCGCCGACGCCGCGCCGCACCAGGCACTCGAAGCCGTGGCCGCCCGACTTGCTCTGCTTGCCCTCCGCTATGCACACGGGACTCCGAGGCTTTCCCCAGCAGCCCCAGACCCGCTGCCACCAGAGCACCTTTCAGGGCGCTTCTCGCTGAAGTGGTTGGGCAGCTGGAGCAGAGGGTCGCCACGTCGGGGGCACGGCCAGGATCCGCGGCCCCCGAAAGTGGGGAGCGGGGCCTCCCGCGCCGCCCCAACATTATTTCCCCCAGCGGCAAAGAAGAGCTGGTGGCAGTCGCCTCGCGGCTGTGGCAGCGGCGGCGGCGCGCCTGCCTGGCGGCCGTCGGCGTACTCCTGGCCATGGCGCTTGGGTTACTCATCGCGCTGCCTCTGCTGCTGCAGGCGGCGTCCCCGGGCGCTGCGCACTATGAGATGATGGGCACCTGCCGCATGATCTGCGACCCCTACACCGCCACCCCCGGTGCGGGGCCTGCAGGCGCTAAGGCACCGCCGCCCGGACCCAGCACGGCCGCCCTGGAGGTCATGCAAGACCTGAGTGCCAACCCATCGCCTCCCTTCATCCAGGGACCCAAGGGCGACCCAGGACGACAGGGCAAGCCAGGACCACGTGGGCCTCCTGGAGAGCCAGGTCCCCCTGGACCCAGGGGCCCTCCGGGGGAGAAGGGCGATTCAGGGCGCCCAGGGCTGCCTGGGCTGCAACTATCTGCAGGCTCAGCGGGCGGCGGCGTCGGGGTGGCGGGTGGAGGAGCAGGGGGAGGTGGTGACTCTGAAAGCGAGGTGACCAGCGCACTGAGCGCTGCTTTTAGTGGCCCCAAGATCGCATTCTACGTGGGCCTCAAGAGCCCCCACGAAGGCTACGAGGTGCTCAAGTTCGACGACGTGGTCACCAATCTTGGCAATCACTATGACCCCACTACAGGCAAGTTCAGCTGCCAGGTGCGCGGCATCTACTTCTTCACCTACCACATCCTCATGCGTGGCGGAGATGGCACCAGCATGTGGGCGGACCTCTGCAAGAACGGCCAGGTTAGTGACCTCCACTCCACACACAGGCGCTTGACCCCTACCCTGCTCTGCATCTCTCTCTCTCTCTGCTGCTCCATCCCTTTTTCTCCCCACTTGGGATCCTCCAGAGTCAGTGGGTTGAGTCCTCTGTGTCATAGTGACCTGCTTCCCATGCGCCCTGGCTATGCTCAAAGAAGCTTAGGCTACAGCAAGCTTCAGGATTCTTTGCCAAACTGCATCCTCTGGTTGGTCACTCCCCTACCTGCTTGCAGTCTCTCTACCCGACCTTGTTCAGACCTCTTTCTTTTTTAGCACTCCTGTGCGCTCCAGTCTCCCCTTCTATCTTTCGCCTCCTTCTTCCTTAGCTTTTCTCTGTGCCTCGGTTTGCATGCTTTATTTCTGGGTCTATTTACTTGAACTGCCCTATCTCAGCTTTCCTGGCTTGCTAACTGCGGGAAGGAGGGAGCAGAGAAGGAGTTGATCAAATTAGAGAAAGGGAGTGGGGCCAGGGTAGGAGCCAGGGACATCAGTGGGAGCCAGGCATGTGCTTTGGCAGAGGTTCCTAGGCCCACTGGTCTCTGCGACCTGCCCCCAGGTGCGCGCCAGTGCCATTGCTCAGGACGCTGACCAGAACTACGACTATGCCAGCAACAGCGTGGTGCTGCACCTGGACTCTGGAGACGAAGTGTACGTGAAGCTGGACGGCGGGAAGGCACACGGAGGCAACAACAACAAGTACAGCACGTTCTCAGGCTTTCTTCTGTACCCAGACTAAAGGCGTGCGGGATGGGGGTGCCAGGCCACCCTGTCCCGGCTGGCTGGGGAGCCCAGTATTTTGGCAAAATTCCTGACATCTTCCTTGGTAAAGACTCACCCTTACTTCCCTCTCTGCCCGCTCTGGGGAAGCCAAGTGTCTGTGGCTCAGGAGTTCTGAGCTGCGCCCCTAACCCTGCTCAGTCCTCAACCTGGGAGACAGATGGGAGTCCAAGTGGCAAGCTGAACTGACTAAGGACCTGAGCCCAGGGGTGGTTAATCAGACTGTAGACATGATTGGATTGGACAGGCTAGCAGGCTCTTTCTAGCCCACCTGACTCAAGGCTCTGTGCTGATAAGGGTAGTAGCCCAAAGTAAGCATGGGCTCCCTGGAGGTGTCCTTCTCAATAACCCTAAATATTTGTGTGAATTTCCCTGCCCATCTGCCAAAAACCCACCCACAGTAGAATCCCGGCAAAGGATGAACCCATCTCCCACACTGCACTCCCAACAAAGCTCTGCTGCTTTGCATTAAACTATGTTTTTAAAACCTGGACTCTGAGGTTTCTGTTAGCATGACCCTTGGACCAGACCACCTTGGTAAGAAGATCCTAATCGGGTCTAGAATAACCCCTCTATGCTTCCATCAGCCAGCCACAGACTTGTTATCTGTCTGTATGGGTGAACAAAGGAGAATTGGGGAAGCAGCAGTCCATGCTTTAGCATACAGCCTTTGGAGAGGGTACTGTATTGGGTCATGATAATGGGTACCAGAGACAGGAGAGTAAAGGTCAGTCTCCAGCCCCAGCCACTGGCTACTTAGGCTACTTTGTCCTCAAAGCTGAAGGAAGAGATGAGAAGGGAGAAGTTCCTGGAGGAAGGAGGGGGAGAGCAGTAGCTGTCCAAAATGGGGAAGGGGGAACTGACTGACCATTGTCATCCAGTAGGAACCAATTTACCCGTTGGAGGTTTCTGGAGTCAGTAAATCACATGAAGGAGACAATTTCTTTTTCTCCTTCATAGCCCCTGATGGATCTGAACCATCACAGAGGCACAGCCTTTGGGTTAGCACCCTCCCTATAGTCTGGAATTGTATGGTTCTCAAAGGGAAGTTTGAAAGTCCTACAAGTACACACACCCTGAGGCACAGGACACACTGGCCACATGCCTACTCCATATTAGCTGGGGCCAGTGCTTTGGGAAAAGCTATAATCCTACTGTCCTCCTGCCTTCCCTGCAGGGAACGTAAATTCTCTGATTCCTGGTGCTCTATGCCCCTAACCTTGCCTACTCCCTAGTCCAGGGAGAGAGACAGAAAACTGAGCCAGAGACTTGTGCCTTCTCTGGATCCAAGTGAGATGGAGTAATGAGATGAATCTCAGCTCTGGGGAAGTGATATCTTCATCTGGGGTCATCCCTTTTGCAGTGTTCCTAGTCTAGCTGTGAACCCCAGTGTGCTCCTTGGAGCTCCTCCTTTCACTTTCTTTTGGTATTTTATACACATAAGTTAGAAAACACACACCATGATTTTGGTTTTGTTCTTTTTACTGTTTTTTGGCTGTTGTTAGGTCATGGAGTTCCCACAGCAGTATGCTGTCTAGAAAATAATATAACTGCTCACGAGTGCTTACTGAGCTCTTTTTGACTGACCACTTGTTTGGAGAGAGATGTGGGTGACTGAGCAGCCTAAATCCTCCAGTATGCACAGTGTGTGTCTCACTAGGACCTGGTTGTCATTATACAATCCATACTCCACACATGCACAAATGGGTCTGAGCTTCTTTGTGTGTGACAGTGCCCTCCTCTGTGTATGCCCCAATGGTTCCTGGGGGATTAGGAAGCTGAGCTTCCCTGTTAAAAGACAATTACACCCCCTGCCTGGAGCCCTGTTGTTACTCCTCTTTATGCTCTTCTTTTATTTGAATAATGTTTTGTTGTCATTCGCTTGAATATGAGCAATGATTGCTTCTGCTTTGAGTCTAGGGGTAAAATGTTCAAAGAGGTGGGGGGGAAGAAATGTGTGTGTGTGTGTGTGTGTGTGTGTGTGTGTGTGTGTGTGTGTGCAATTTGCTACCTCATAGACTGTAGATTCCAAAACCCAGCAGGGTACAGGAATGGGGGCAGTCAGAACAGGGTAGGGGCCCTTTATCAATTTTTTTATGCTTGTGAATTGTATCATCCAGAAATACGATTAAAAACAAATATCTAAGACCCAAATGAAGTCTAATTGCTGTGGATCTACAATCCTTCATGGGTCCCTAATCCTTTTTGACTTATTCCTCCCCTTCCTCTGATAAGATGGAGCTTAGACACAAAGCCCTCGGTTTAGATTTCAAAAATTAAAATTGACATGCAGCACTGGCATTCCTGAGAGCAGGAGGAATTTCTAAGGAGGTGCCCAAGCCCAGCCTTTGCTTTAGGAAACCATTTGTACTTTTAACAAAACCCCTGCCACTCCCCTTTGGCAGGAGGGCAGTGGAGACGCCTTGCAGGGGTCTACCTCTTCACAACACTTAGACAAATTTGAGATTCCTCCATCTGTATTCCCTAGTGCAGCCGGATTCTTGCCTGAGCTGCCAGGGAAATGCTTCCAGAGGTGTCAGCTGCTAACAGGATGATAGATTGATGAGGTGATCTGGGGGGCAGAGGTGCAGGAGCCTAACTCAGGAGCAATCTCTCTATGTTTGCACATCCCCTGTGCCCTGGGGACACCCTCACCCCTACTGAAGTTCACGTTTAAGTTATCTTTTTGGAGGATTCCCTTCCAAGGTGAAAAAACTAGCTCTCCCCAACAGATGGCTTTGTGTATTGGTGCTAGGAGTCTAGAGAAGGGTGAGAAAAGTGAGAAGCTCTTTGCTTCAGACTCTTGGAACTAGTTAGAAAGGAAACATCCACGAATTGTAATTATAAAGCACTATTTTAGTTTCTCAATTGCTTTGCATGCATTTTCCAATTGTATTCCTAGATAGGAATGATCACTCTGGCATCTCTCAGGACATGGACTAGGCAATAAAGCTATGTCATATGAATGGTGGGAAAACTTGAGCTCCAGGGGTTAAGAGGCTTCACAAAGTTTACAAGAAGCCATGGGACTCAGCTGCTTCCTTCTGCTAGAGATCAGCACACATGTCTCCCTGCAACCTTCAGGCCTTTGAACTGGGAAGGAGAGCAAATGGGTATGTGGTATTTTTACATCTCCTCTGATGCAGGAAGTCTAGCATCTTCTGAAGAATCCATTCTTACTCATAGGCCCCTGCCTGCATCCCAGATAGAAACTCCCCTTCTTGAGGATTTTGGCTGAATATTTTAGCCAAGAGGTGGCCCAGGAGGACCAAACTCCAAATAGTCCTTTCAGATCTGTCTGCCTCCATCAACAAGTCATCTCACTGGCTCCTTTCCCTTCTCTCTCTGGGTAGTGGGTAGGTACAGGGTACAGGGTAGAGTGTGGCAGCAGTGAGCACTGGCTTCCTGGTTGTGGAAGGCTCTTCCAGTCAGGCATCTGACTCTTCACTTCCAGGGCTATTGGGGTTTATGAGACAGACACCATCCAGCAGTTCTGATGAGAGACACACCTCTGCTACATTCCTTTTCTGACTATATGAGCAGATGGGTGTCTTCAATCCCCAAGACAAAGATCAAGTTCACCTCTTCATCAAGTTCCACACTGCAGAGATCAATTGCTGCAAACTTCTCTTAACAAGCACTCTCTAGTGGTTAGACAGTATATGAGGACTATAACCTAGTATTTATATCTTCTGAATAATTTGTATATACTGCTGTCAGTAAGCTCTGGTGGCCTAGTGGCAAGAAGCTGTACTACAACTCCAAAGGCACATGGTTTGAGGCCACCATCTATCTGCTTCGTGGGTAGGAAAAGGATGGGCAATCTCCTCCTGTGTGATTAACTGCCTCTGAAAACCCACCAGAGTGTCAGCTATGGGGTTGGTTCAGACTCCACTCTAAGATATACAACAACACGATCGACAAATAGGCTGTATTGGAGGAAGTGAAACCAGAGTACATCTTAGAGTTAAAGGTGGTGAAACTTCCTCTCACATACATTGGATATGTTGTAAGGAGGACCATTCCTTGCTAAAACACATAGTGTGAGGAAAGTTGGAGGATCAGACAAGGAGAGGAAGACCTTCAACAAGATGAATTGATATAATAAGGTAAAAATAGGGTTGTGCATGTCAGAGATCACAAGGTTGGTGCAGGATAGGGCAAGGTTCAGATGTGTTGGGCAAAGGGTTGCTGAGAATAATGGCCCTTAACAGGAACAACAACTATCAATTAAAAGTTTTTAAATTGCTATCTCTTTTTGTTTATATTCATCAAAGGATCTGCACATTCTCTATGAATTAAAAACAAAAAAAAAGGAAAAAGAAACATTCTAAAAAAAGGGAAAAAATACAACTGTTAATTCAATGTTCCCTCTTCAATTAAGGAATCCCACTGGCACAGTGATTAAGTACTTATCTGGTAACTGATAGGTTGATGGTTCAAATCCACCAGTGCACCGGCTGCATTTAGAGAAAAAATGATAGTCTGTGATTGTAAAGATTGACAGCTGTAGAAACCTTGTTTGACAGTTCTACTCTATTCAACTTATTGGGTGGCCATGAAGCCCTCAACTTTCTATTTCCCCCCAAATATAAGACAAAAAAGCTTATGTGTTCTTCTGTGAATCATAGGTAAGCTTTAATAGGTGCACTTTAATTCTTGGAGTGTACAGCTTCAATCTGTGTTTTAAGTATTAGTGCTATTTTATTTGATATTTTCTTTTAGTTGAAAAGGAAATGAAACAAATGTTCCAATATTTCCTTTTCCAACCAATTTTTATGACTCTACTACTGATATTGATGCCAATTTGTGAATTCAAAATGTACAAGAGTCTTTCCCTGGGACCCTCAGAGTATGGGAGGATAAGCCTGGCAGGAGAAGGAAGATATTTTGGAGGGATGTGTTTTTATATTTTTCCTTATTATCATATTCCAGTTCCCCTCAGTGAAGGAACACCTT